ACCTGCTTTGAAGCATCATGATGCTCGAAACGAGTTGACTTCACGGCTCCCATACAAGTCCAGCTAAGACGTCGGCATTCAGTGGTTTGCAGACGCCCTGCTTCCAACCCACTCCTTGGGAACGAATGCTCAAAAAAATCCGCTGTACCTGGCTGCAAGCCCTCTGCACAGCGAGGCAAAGCAAAAATATTTTCTTCGATCATCCCCAAACTAGAACAGTGAATCGCGAAGAACCCCTCCTGTGCGATGCAAGCACGATACATCTCAAGATGCACGGCAAACTCATGGCACTCGGTTAAACCAAAAAATCTGCTTGAGCTATTTTGAGGCTGTCATGCCCCGTCTTTCTCACAGTTGCAAGCATCAACTGCATCAACAGTAGAGATGCTCACAGAAAAAAGTTACATACGCGGATCCTGTTGGATATGTACTCGTCCCCTCCTGCTTCTTCTCTCTGCGCTCCCACCGCACTTGGCTCTCGCAGCCTTTCTCTGGTCTCCCAGATTGGGAAGCCTAAGCCCAAGCCTCAAGGTCGTGTGGGGGTGGGCTTCCCGGGAGCCTCAAGAAATACTCGCAAGGCTTCTCTGGGCTGGGCACTCCAGAGATTAGAAACATGTGCTTGAGAGGCATTTAGGAAGGTATTGAGGTCGGACCCCCCCCCCCACACCTCCTTGGACCCCTGGTCCCTTGGTCTTTGGTCCTCCCTTCCCCCAAAACCGATCAAACGAGCACAGTGTTTATCTGCGCGGGTGGGGGGGAGGGGCCACATGTGCCCCCCCAACCCCCCGAAAAATGATACAAAATGAAACAACCTGCATGCAAACAGTTCAACGGGGCACAACGGGGCACGAACGGGGCATGCGCCGATACGCCGATACGCTGATACGGTGGGCCACAGTATGCCGGCACGTCGACACTCCTTGATACGCCATTCGGGTCGATACACAACTCCGCCGGCACACCTCAGTTTAGGAGCCCACCGAAGGGAAAAGAGGGCCGGAGCCCGGAGCAGTGTGGCATATCGCCGTGTCGGCGCATCGGTGCGCTGATATGCCTATACAACAAGCCGGGTGAGGGCGCAGATCGGAGTACCGGTGTATTGGTGCATTGGCACGCGGGGCACTTTGCCGAATGACGGCCTCTCTGTAGAAGTTGATGGACGCTACTCCAGCCACAAGCCCGGCCCATGTCCGCGGGCACCTACCTCTCTCCATCTTTCTCCCAAAAGAAGCGCAGCTTTTGCAACCGGCTTTCCCCAAACCACCTCTGCCGGCGCCCTCCCACGCCATCCCACGCCATCTGCCACCCTCACCCTGCGACAAGCCCGTCGAAAAGTGTGCTAAACAGGGGCATTCCACACATCCAGGCATTTGTCACTTGTCCCAACGGACCCCCCGAAGGAATCTCCCAGCAAATTGTCAGGGAGACACGTCGATCCGATGCTGCAAACTTCTGCTCGCAGCCACTCAATGTTAACAATGCAGCTACAAGTTACAATGAGATGTTTGATCTGAAGCTGGCGCTGCACGGAATGGAGTTTCTTGATTTCTTCGCCCACATCCTTCCACACGTTCATGACAAAGCTGCAGCCGCGAAAGCTCAAGGTCTCACGAATGTCTCACGGGCAACAGAAGCCTCCAGCACCTCTTGCAGCTGCGATGTTTCAGATTGCAATTCCTTCTTTTTGGCCTCTGCAGCGAGATGTGTGCTTCCCTTCGGGTTTCAGCCTGTGCAAGAAGGATTTGGCCTCATGGACAGCCTGCTTCTTCGCTGATTTCTCGCTCACCTCGTCCGAAGCCATCCATAGTTAAACACTCTTTAGACACTATCTAAAACACTAGCTGTCACGAGCTAATCACAGAACAATGTGCTACAGCCGGCCAACCCAATACATAAAGCGGGGAGGGGAAGTTGCCCAACTGTGGGGCACATGCCGCTGTGTGACCTTCCACAACTCGAAACGTCCATGGAAACCTTCACTCAAACTCAAGAGTTAAGATCTGAACCTTGACACTTCAGTGTTCGGGCTGTTGAGCACACGCTCAACGGAGGAAAGTTAATGTTGAAGGTTCATGAGCTTCCAGGTAATCTTGCGATACTCGCCCAGTGCAGCATCACCCACTACCGAGAGCCTAATGCGCCACTTCCTCAAGAGATTGTCGCTTGTTCTGCTCACGTTCTTCCACTGGCGTAGTTCTCAACTGTGTGATTTGCTTTTGCACATATTGCAAACTGCTTGGTTTGAAATGCTATTAAGTGGTGTTGGTTCTGTCTCAACTCGGATGTGAGTGCTTCGATTCTCTCCATGTACTCTAGGAATAGTCTTGTGCTGCGAACTGCTGCGAGATGCGATTCCAGTTCAGCAACAGCTTCCCAACGACTTCTGCTAGCACGTTCTTCCCGCTGCACCTTGCCTCTGCATGTTTTCGATATTGTTGAGTGTTCTGAAAACCTCCACTCCTACTTGGTTAAACACTGAGAACCTTGTTCAACTTAGGAACCCTTAACTTGTTGACTTTCATTGGCTAGTGCAACTCGTGCAGCTCGCCCACCTCCTGGGCATCTGCGAAGATGGCCCGCCAAGCAGCCACCTGCAAAACAGAGACAGAAACCGCAGACCCCACAGCACATGACATGCATTGACGTGCCCATCACTTGTACATCTTCTACAGGAATGTCTCGGAGCTGCTCAAAGTTGCCCAAAAAAACGCCTCCCCTTGAAAGCGGACTTTGGAGGCATGCATGGCAGCTTGCAACTCCTTTCAGAGAGCATCTGATTTCTCAGTCGATTGTAGAATTCGCTTTCGAGAACATGTGCCAAATGTGCCAACATTCAGAAAGCTGTCTCTGCAGCTCCTCAAGATGATGATGTACAGGATGTTCATGCCTTCGTTCAAACATTGGGATAGACGTTGACTGCAGTGCCCTCGACTAGCCGTGGCCTGATGCCAGAGAGCCACGGTGGACATCCATTGCTCATTGCGGCTGCTTATGTGCATGGAAGAATGTTGTTGTTGCTATGGCTGCTATCAGTGATCCAGCAACTGCAAAGACGGAGCCAGTCTCTGACCAAACATACGCGCTTGGAAAAGCCTTTCTTGAACATTGGGCCAGTACATGAGGGCTGCCAGTTTCAGGATGATAGAAGAAGAATGCACGAGTAGTTCACGGTCTCAAAGAAACATTTTCCGGACGGAACGACCATGCGTTGCAGAAGACATCATCTGCTCTGCTTTGTGGTCTTGGTCTAACACAACAAATAGTTTCCCAGACACTGGGCATTTCACCCAGTGGTGGGCCAAGAGCGTGGCAACACAATCCAGACCTCTATCCAGAAAGTCCAGGATGATCCAAGTCCTCAACAGCGGATTAGCAAACGCACCGTCCAACACTTGACATGTCTCGCCAAGATGTACTGGACGAGAAGAAACAACAGGTCTATACTATATCAGCCACCAGAGCAAGCAAGGATTATATGTTGAAAGGACGTAGCATCCTAGGAATGCTTGAGGGAACTGCATTTCAGCCATATCGAGGGGCGACAGGAATGGATCTTGCAACTACGACCAACTGCCCATTGATGGAGTTGCATTGGAGTCATACAACAGGGATCCAGGACTGCCCAAGACAACTTCGAAATGTAAAATAGACAATGTTGGCCAAGCACATCCGGCAGATTTCGTCAGATTTGCTGTGCACAGACACCCCAATGTCCTTCGGCACACCTTCGAGGGGATCCAGGTCCAGTTTTTTGGCCAAGTTTATCCTGCAGAACGTGAGCTCAAATCACAAATCGCCGCCAAGTCAGCCATGTCACAAAGTCCTTGCTGGTTTCCCTGTCGGACCCTTGGGGATGCTTGGCATTGTCACCTGTAGAATGCACGCTCATCATGTTGAGAATACATGCAATGTGGCCGATCATATCACTACAGGATGAGGACAGAACCAACATTTCAGGGATCCATTTTGCTTGCAGCTTGTCACCTCGCCGAATCCGAGCTTCCACGACTCCATGCTGACGTAACAAGGCCAAAGCTTTTGTTGCACCAACTTCGCAGCTCTTTTATCGTTAACCTTTGCTCCAGCAGGGTGTCAGACAGCTAGAAGCAAAAGCAAAGAGAACACAGATGAAGGGACAATAGGGACATCCCAAGGCCCTGGCGATTTGCCGTCCTTGAGAACTGCAGCGATGCCTACACCACAGCTGTCAATGGACGCTTGGCATTTTGCAGAAACCCCCGGCTTCCACATCCACAAGACTGAGGCAAGGGCCCACAACCTCACCCAATGACTTGTGAGGAACAGCGAATGCGATGCAGTCTTTCAACCTCGAACGACAGCAATCGCACGAGCTTGGGTTTTTTATGGAACTTACCTACTCCAGAACCAACTGGTTCGCAGCCTTTAGGGATGATGACCTGTGAATGTTGGCTCATACCCGCAAGGATCTCCGACCATGCCCCACCCCCCCAGCTTCACTTCGTTCTTCGGGTGGTGCTTCTTGCATACAATCAGTTTGGAGGAAAACATTCACATGCTTGAAATGTCGCCCAGCTCGGCTTCAACTACGGATTCAAACAGAAACGCGTCAACTGCACATCTAGTTTGAAATTCAGTTGGTTTTGCACGGGGTCTCCCGAGACTCATTCAACGCGCGCGGGCCCCATGATGGAAGCAGCCCCCGCCCCGCTCCCACTTGCGCCCGTGCTGAAAGATTTCCGGCATCTTGGAAGCATGCTTTTTGCAGGCGGCCACCTCCCGCTTGCGGTTGACGGAGAGAGATGCTCTCCACCGCACGACCCCTTTCCCTGAGCTGTCTGTCCAGTCAACTGCTCCCAGAAGTATATCGCTCGAAAGTCCAACGAGCCACGCCCAGGCCAAACTAGCGTCCGCATGCATTCTATCCTTCAGGGATTGCTCGCATAAACGGTTCTTGGAATGTGTTTGAGTTTGAGTTTGAGTTTGAGGCTGTTTGAGGCAGTTTGAAGCGGCTTCCATATTCAAAGAGTGCCGAAAGAGAACTCTCTCCGATTTATTTCACCTTCTTGAGGGGGGGAGGGAGACAAAGATTGAAAAGTTGGTATATCAGGACGATTGACCCTGAAGCGACGTATTGACCGCGTTGACCCAAGATCTCCGGCTAGAGCTCCGAAAAAGAGCTTGTGAAAGCAGCTGACTTGAGTGTTGATTGTTACACAATCTTTTCTCTTCGCCCCCGGCGCATCGTTGGAACGCATTGCATCTTCCACCTAATGAGCACACCCGGTACAGGTATGGCACTAAGATCCTGCAGGACATGTAGCCCTGCCTCGAAAGGCGAAATTTTCTCGCCGGCCCTGTTGATAATCTCCTGCGGTTTCTGAGGCTGTCAAGACATGTCAAGCCCTTTTCTTGGTTGAAAACAAATTGCAGGGCTCCTTGAAGCGGCCACTCAAGTACAGGTAACCATCAGCATCAAGCCAACCTTTGTCACCTGTCCTTCATGCAACAACTCATTCCCCCACACTGCGTTTAGAAGATTCTACAAGCCACTCTCAGCAGGCAACTCACAACAGGTCCTTAACCATCCCTCGCCGAAAGCTTCGACGTTGGGATTAGCATCCATGTGTTCTCTGAACTCATATCCTCAGAAAGTAGTGATGCCATTGGGACATCTCTTGCTCCAACAAGCAAACTTCGGTTGCCAGCCACTTGTCACGGGACCACCTTTCACAACCACCTGAAGGCAGGTGCAATGAGCCGTTGCAGATGCTCTTTGGCACAACTTATGTTGGCACAACTTATGTGTGCGACCTCGCCCTCTTCGCCGACCTTCATGAACGTGGTATCCTGAGGACTGATGCATCTTTGACCAAACCCGTGCAAAGACCGAATCAAGGACGGGGCCGGGTGTCCGTTCATGATGCCCAAGTTGGGTCCGGCCTGGTTGACAGTGCCACACAACGGGCATGAAATTCAACCAAATTCAATCAATTCAATCAAGCCTTTCAAATCTCCCCACCTGCATCCCCACGGAGCGAAGCTTGCGCTTCCCGTATCGAGGGTTGGAGGCGATGGGCATGGACCTGCAGCTCTAGCCTTGAGCCACACTTTCGAGCTTTTGCCTGAGGAAGTGACTCGGTCATGGCATAGGTGGGCATCACAGACACCTGTCTCAGACCAAAAAAATTCTGCTGTACGCACACGACACCATGCAGCTTCATCGAACATGATCTCGAGGCGTTTGCCTTCAGCACTTCTTCCATGGCTGCTGCGACTGTCGGGACCAAGGCGGCAGAACCTGCCGTGGCTCATCATGAGTCCCACTATAAGACTTGTTCATCCATGCTGTGCAAACGGCGTACAAAGAAGAACGTCAGCGATTCACGAGCAGCACTAGCAACTTCGGGGAACGAAACTGCTGCAGTGATTCCTCACGCGGAAACCAAGGCAACATGTTTGCAATTTCGGCGAAGGAAAAGGAGCTTCGAAAGCAAGCATTTTCCGTTGGGCAAGTGGAAAAAGCCTCCCAAGCAGGGTCAAATGAAGCGCAGGCGCCAGCAACGGCCGGGCATGGCCGCCCGGCCCGTCACCACAAGCAAAAATGTGACCGGCGGAAGCGGATCAAGCGCGCAGATGACAAGCGGAACACGCTTGTTCTTTGTGGCCGGACTTGTCGGCGAACATCACGGGCGCGGAGGCCGGCACAGCGCGTGGCACCGTCGGGGACTCCAAGTGCTCGCACGGAAAAGTGCAATACCCAGCGGAGCTCCACCGCGGAAGCGCAACAGGCCTTCTTCAAGAAAGTTCAAGGCCTCGATCATTCGGCTTCGGATCGGAAGCGGCGGTGGGACAGATCGCCGGGAGGCGGTCAGCGGGGAATGTTCTTTCCCAAGGTTGGGAACCCATTAAGGAGGCCTGCAATATGCTTAGCAAGCCATCGGCGTTGTTGCTGCTGGTGGCTATGGTCAGTGGCAGCCACGAGGATGCAGCCGTGGCACTTAAAAAAAGCATGTGCCGTCCTCCGAAAGACGTAGCGACGTGATGGTGTTTTCCGGTCAGGCCGTGGATCGGCTGATTTCCTTGAAACTGTATCCCACCATGACCCCCTCCCCCAAGCCCCCTTCACCAATCTTCACCATCTCCATGTCCTCCAAAATCACCTCATTCAGTATAGCGTACCTCCCTCTTGTTCGCGCTGCTCCAAGGCAGCGGACACTCCCTCACAACCAGCGCTGGAGGACGACATGATGTCAAACGAGGGCAGAGAAAAGGAAAAAAAACTGTGCTTTTTTCTGTGACCAACAGATGCCAATGCTGACATGCAGCTTGGCACTGCACAAGCTGGAGCAAATAACCCAAACATGTTGAAAGATGAAAGATGCAGCTGCGCAGTTTTGTATTCTTATGTGCACAGAATTTCGCGAGCAAAGACTTTCAAAAGCCGAGGCTGGCACAGTTTCTGATTAGCTGGAGCTTGTTCTCCGGCGGCTTTCCCTTCCCAAGAGAAGGCGGAGAGCTTGCAGCAGATCCGAGCAGATCAGAGGTCTTGAAAATTCATGAAAGCTTGCCTTCTCTTTCGCGACCTCTTCTGCAAACTGAAGAATCTGAAGATGCATTGTGGGAACCTTAGAAGGAAGCGACACGGCCGTTTCAACAGCGGAAGCGCAAAAACCTGAAATGCTACCGAGAAACCGCTGAGTACCAGTTTGGTTCTGGCTGTGAGACCAAGGCCGCATGAAAGTTCTGCACCTAGATGCTGCTTGGCTGAACACTGGCTTCAGGCTCTATAGGCAACGGTCTTCTCAGGCCTGGAAGACACCAGGCAGGCAAACTACCTAAAGGACGTGGTGGTGGCGACGTGTCATGCCATGTTGTGAGGGTACGGCATGGCCTGCAACTCCGGGGCCAAGGATATCTAGAGGAGGCAACACGACGCAGGGGTCAATGCTTGACATCTGAGGCGGGCCTCTGGCCTTATGCCCCCTCCATCCCACATGGCATACGACATCGCACTTCGGGCTTTTGCCTGCCCTGTGCAACTTGTGATACTCCGTGTGCTGCTCTGGCCAAGGGCCCTGCCAAGCCTTCTCTCCGGCTTCCAACGAATTGACAGAACTTGTCGAACGTGTTAAATTCTAAGCGCTTCGCTTGGCATGTTTTGGACTGTACTCTGAAGGTGTCCACGCATGCGCTGCGCACCACCAAGGGCCCGCAGAGCACCAGATGTGCAAGTGGCCATCGCATTGGGGGTGCGGTGGGCAGTAATGTTGTCGCGTGTTAGGCCCATGGTTTGCCGACCTCCCCAGCCTCTCTCCCCGGCCCCAATCGTAAGCCAAAGAGCAAACCTCGCCGACTCTCATAACTCAGGATGACTAAGGGAACAGCCTGAGATCCCGCAACGGCAGAAGCCAGGACCTCAGACATGTGGATGCTCTGAGCTGGAATGCAAGGCATTCTCTGAAAACTTCAGGAGCAGGCATTAACAATGAGGCCATGAATGTGAAAGAGCCTCACGGGGAGCAGCCAAGTGAAGTAAAGAAGCTACCATCTGGGGCGGCCTGGGCCAACCAACGCTCTGAGACTGCGGCGGCATGGTATTCAGGCAAATGTGCTCCTGCAGTATATTTACTGCTCTGTAGGTCGGCGGCATGAAGTGAAACAGTGTCGCAGCATGCTGTGCTCCAGGCAGGCTTCAGCTCCACCTGAGCACATCTTCAATTCGCTCTGGCTTCCGGAATGAAATCAAGGTCTGTCGATCACAGGTCATGGTCTGCATGACCTGCACTTCACTATCGCCTCACCAACCATCTACGGCCGAGGCACAAGGTCGCCACGCAGACAAAAGTGGAAGCGCAACAACAACTTAGAACCTGGCCGTGGACGCGATGCACATTGCACCGCTGGCAATGTTCGCATGCCTGCAACACAAAAGTCATGTCAGTTGCAACCAGCGATCACCTTCACTTCCTGCAGACACCAAGATCACTGAAGACCTTGGACCCTCACGTCAGTGGCACGATCTTCGGCTTCTTGGTCGTACCAGAAGTATGCAACACAAGAGCAAGGTTGTCACCTGCACCAACGAGGCATCAATCGTCATGCCGCCTTGTTGTACCGCAAGCACCCATCCATTCTCAAGGCACGGGCGCTTCACCGATGCAATTGGGTTGCCAAGCGCATCGCCCTGTAACGTTGCGGTTCGGAGAGCTATGGATCCCGTACATAGACAGCATGATCAAACCTTCAAGGGCTTCCCAGCTGCATGCTTGCTCAGCTGGAACAAGCCGGCCACTTCCTGCGCCAAAGTAGGCATGTTTAATGACGCCAAGCAAAGATGCAAAGATGCAAAGATGCAAAGATGCAAAGATGCAAAGATGCAAAGCTGGAAAACTGCAAAGAAGGGTCTTACCTTCGAAGGTGTCAGCTCCAGCAGTTTCTCTACCTCTGTACAGAAACATACCGTTGCACCATGATGCAGGGCAGCTCTGCCTCTCCAATCTCTAAAGCCAGGCCTTGCATTTCCGCGCAACACTTACTGCATTGCCTGTGTTTTTCTGGTCGTCTTCACTGAGGCCGTCCTGGGGATGGCTTGTTCTGCCACTGAAAACATGACCATGTTCACAACACGACTCCTTGGCATGGACCACCAGCGCCTTTCAGAAACCAAACTGAAATCAATAAAGCTCACGAAGCAAAACCATGATCGCACGGATCTGAACGCACCGCGGGAGCTGCCGGCGTATGTCCCGGTTTATATGCAGGTACGTTCTTTTCACGGATGTTCTCCTTTTGCGCGTGGAACTTTTGTGCTGTGGCAAGCACTGACTGTGGCCGTCAGTCTGTTTTGCATTCAACGGGGGCCAAACCACTTTACACCTTGATGTCCAACACAAAGACTCTCGTGGGGTTCGTGTGTCCGTGTGCACCAAGCAAGCTTTGTCCACCTCCGTGCATGTCCCACAGCCTCTCCCCGTGAAAACCGGTTCCACACGGTCGACAGTGGCTGCCGCACGCATGAGCCAACCCCCGAGAACCTGCACATGATGGATTATGGGCCGTTACAGGACATCAATACGGAGGCACCAGTGAAGATTTAACATTAGGGTTTAGGGTTTAGGGTTTAGGGTTTAGGGTTTAGGGTTAGAGTAGACATCGGCAGTCAATCCCGGCACTTGGCGATATTCGCCTCGGCTTCCTGCCGAGAAGCGTCTGGAACAAGCAGACCCGGATCGGGCCTCCTCCCCCTAACCCAACCCTTACCATGGCACCCCAATCGGAGCTGCAAACCAATGCCATAGCGTCCCGCCTGTCGCTCCCCCCTCCCCCCTCCCCCCCCCCCCCCTCCCCCCCTCCCCCTCCCCCTCCCCCCCCATCCCCCCGTCCCCCCCCCCCTCCCCCCCTCCCTCCCCCCTCCCCCCTCCCCCCCCCCCTCCCCCCCCCTCACCCCCCCTCACCCCCCTTTTTTGCGAAACCCTCTTTCCTCCTTTTCCTGTCCTGGGGCCGGCCCGGCTGCCGAGGCGGCGCGCGCAAGCGTTTACAATTAAACCTGCACAACGTGTTCCTGATTCCATGGATATGATTGACAAGCTTGATGAGACAGCATATGGTACTGCGCACATACTCATAATTACTCACAGCTGCACAACCTTGGCTGGAAGGTCGATGAACTCGAACTCAAACCTCACGAAGCAATCTGTTTGTCACTGCATGGCCAGAGATGAGAGGGGTCTTGTGTCCATGTATACCCCATGCGATCTACCAGTCGCGATCTAGCATGCGATCTGCTAGCAGTAGACATGAGTTCCCGGCTCGTCACGACTGAGACCGATGTTGAGCGGCGCCTTCAAGGAATCTGCTACCAATTACCACATGCTTGTTTTGCACTTTTCTGGGCAGTTTCAACCGTTCTCCCTCCCTGGACGTGGATGCTTAGGAAGCGACAAAAGTACATCTCAGAGCAAAGGCCAAGAAGCAGACAGCTGCTTCAGGGCCTACAGCTTTGCCACTCAAACAGAAACGCGCTTTCAGCTTGATGGGACAATGTAAGCATGTGCCAGCTGCAGCGCTCTCAACGGAGAGCCAGTGAGCTCCAAGCCATTGGGTATGGCTGTGCAAAGTCTGTCCTGGATCGCGCTTAAGCTTCATGGAGATGTGGTGCGCAGTGAGGGCGTGCCCAAGTTGAGTCCTCGCGACCAAGCCCAAGGACTTCGACCTGGACCAGCTGGGGGAAAATGAAATTCTCAGCTCAGGGCCAAAGTGGCCAAAGCAGCTCCCCAAAGCAGCTCCCCAAAGCAGCTCCCCAAAGCAGCTCCCCAAAGCAGCTCCCCAAAGCTGTCCAAACGGCTAAAGCGGCTCAGGCTCCAGCCTGGTCACTGGTGATGAACTCTTTCAGCTCCTTCAGGCCTCACATGCGGTTGCTAACGCAAAAGACCGAGAAAAACTCTCAATTTTGCGAGCATAGCACTCAACGGTCTTCGTCCGTCTGTTGCATGGAGGAAAGGAGCATCTGAGCTTGGAATCAAGTCGTAGAAGCTTGCCCACTCCTGCAAATAGAGAATGCCAAAAAGATCATCGATGAAAGCGCCCAAGCAAAGCCCCCAAAGCGCGATGAACGCCCTGCCTTCTTCAACACCTCATCTGCGAATAGCTGCCGCTTTGGATCATAGTCGCCAGTGGCCGCACCTTCGGCCCAGGACCCCGCAGAGTATGAGCTTCAGCTCAGGGATTCGGCTCAGAGCTTCAGCTGTGTCCACGCAAGCCGTAAGGTCTGTACGAATGATGCCTATTTCGTGCGTTCCACTATGGGCATCTGTGGAACCCTCCATTGCCTGCAACATCTGCGCATCAGGACTACACAAAGACAGATAAAGAGCTTGCATGCACAACATGAAACCCCATCAACCTGCAGCCACGCCGGCCGCCAGCATCAACGAATATCTTCTGATCCGAAACTCCCGATGCGCAAGGATAAAACAAGATTGGTGAAGCTGCTTCAGGGGGCACAAAAACTTAAACCTGAGAGCGGCTCTCAGCCAGACTCTGTATAACTTTTCATCCGGCAGATTGCTCGAAGCTTCTTAGCACCACACCGGGGAGATCGTTAACAAAGCTGCATCGACGGTACATTTGGTACATTTCACGCCGACGTTGGATGCCCTGACTCTCAGAGTTTTGCCTGACGGGGGGTGGCAGGTGACACAAAATGACACCGATAAAAGAAATGCAAGAAGCCATAAAAAGCCATGAGTGAAAGCAGTTTGTGATTTCAGCATATTTCAGCAATGTGTGTGATCAAGGCCAGGACTTTCTTGCACGTCAGCCTGACCAGCGGCACTGCACTGACATTCTTAAGATCTTAAAGATGATTTGGGTTTCCCACCAAGACTGCATGAGACGCCAAGTCGAAGTGATGATAGGCACCAGAATGGGCATTGATATTGGCAGGTACCTTGCAGCGGAACATATCAATTGTGCTTCGTTACCTTTTGGCGCAACCTGGGCCCCAAGCACAGCATATTTGAACTCCCATGAGAAGTACCTGGAACGGCAAAGTGCAGGCAGATGACACAGTTTGCTGCAAAAGAACATGTCAGCAACAGGAGCGAGCCTTTGGCCTGCTTGGCCCGTCGGCATGATTAAACGTGCGTCTGCCCCCCACTTCTCCTCTTCTTCCCCTCTTTGCCCGTGTGACCTTCGTGCCCTTCGTGCCCATAGCCGGTCAAAAAAACGACAAGTAATACGAGAATACGAGCCCGGCCTGCACGTGTGCCAACAACCCGCTGTATCAGCGATATGGGTATGATTCCTGAGAATGTACAAGTTGTATATATCACGATGAATCCCATATGTAGGGTGACCGTGTGACGTGCCTGTTGGGAGTTGTGTGTTGTGTGTTGTGTGTTGTGTGTTGTGTGTTGTGTGTTGTGTGTTGTGTGTTGTGTGTTGTGTGTTGTGCGTTTCGCTGGGCCGCTGGGCGGTTCTTCCAGCGCTTGTAGATCACTGTGTTCCTGTCGTCCAACCACGTGCTCTCGTTCAGGAAAGGGCACAATGGCCATGGCGGTGGCAACTGCCAACAATGCCAACGGTGGGTACAGTTGCGAAACCACAGAATCGTCATGGATGGCAGTCAGTGCCAGCACCAGGGCTTTTCGAGACTCGACCTGCTCCAGGTTTCCAGACATCTGGATCCAACTCATGATTTTTTCAAGTAGCGGACTAAGGCAGCCGCCAAAGACAGAAACATATCCCCCTGCTCTGCAGCGTTGATCGACGTTCGTAGTTTGCTCGCTGCCTCAACAACCAAGCAAAGCGGAGAAGTCTGCTGCCGCTGCGATTGTGCGCCTCCAGTATTTGAACAGCATTGCTTAAACACATTTGCAACTTTAAGAATTGTATTGAAAGGCATTGCGGCATGGTTCCTTGAAGGCCATGGCTGCGATTTCCTCACCTGGGATTCTGCGGCTGAGCAATCAAAAATCTCAGGAAAGTGCTAACCTCAAAACATCGCAACACCCTCACCTTTCAACCTTCAGGCAAGCACGTACGACCACGTCGGGAAGGGAGTCGACCAGTTCGACAAGACTGCGCAGTGTCTCTACCTGAGATTTTGCTGCAAACCTACAACAACATGATCAGACGGTACGTCACAACGTGTCGCAGGGAGACAGTCGCTGGGAACCCAACAGTTCGTCTCACGAACCGTGTGTGTACTGCTCCTTGGATGCAGTACATGAGAATTATAACTTGATATAACACATCAAGCTGATCAGTGACCGAAGCGTGGACAGAAATAGAGATAAATGAGCAAAGGACGAGCCAAGATCTCCAGCTCCCAATCGGAAATCCCATCAAACCCTTGGCTCTAGGACTCGCAGAGTACTCTGCACATTCAGCACATCACTTGCCCATAGCCAATCACCAAGACGTCTTCCGAACATGAGGCGTGACACGTGGTCTTGCTGCAAAGAAGGACACTTTGCTCTCGGTGGAGCCACCTGCAGACGAGTCAACCGGATCTTAAAGCTCGTTCGATTTGATTTTTCCTTTCTGGCTGTCAGCCTTGCATGACAGACTCACTGGCCGGCAACGACAGCCAGGACCGCAGGCTAGATATCCAACCAGAAGCTACCTTGCAAAGATGCATCTGAAGTGGTGTGAGTGACACTCTGTGCCACAGGCGCACCCTCTCGGCTTCACATGGAGTCAATCTGCCGTCCTTCTCAAAGCCTTGAACCCCTGACAAAGCGCAGCAGACACATTCCGACTGCTGTGTCTGACATGTCAGTTTCATCACCGGGCAGCACTGATTTTTATCGTCTTTCAAAGGCAGTCTGCCAAGCCCTCATCTCTGGCAGACTCCAATGCCTCATGCAGCAAGCCAGCATGGCCTATTTGCAGGTAACCTCTCGCCAAAGTTCGCCGAGATGCTTGCAAGTGCAGCAAAGCCTTGAATGCCTCGATCCTCGTCGAATCCTCGGGGTCGGGGACGGAAACGTGGTCTCGACAGCACTTAAGGCATTCGAAAGAATGCACCTGTCCATGACAAAGATCTAAAAATAGGCTATTTAACATGCTGCAATATGATGAAACTCGTCTGCGGCTAGGTGTCCGGGACACGCTCCAGCAGGACTCGGCCTCGGGACTCACACAGCCATGCACGGAAGTGGAGATTTAAATCCCTCGGGCACCACTCCATGATCGCCACAACGGATCCAACTTCTTTGACGGAGTGCGCTGCGGATCCTCTCATTCCGGACTGTCTAGAGTCTAGCTGTATCGGCATTCAAGACCTCTCCCTGACTCAGCAGTCCTCCGCGCGAAAAACACATTTGCGACCGGAGCTGTCTGTTTCAAACCACTCGATATGTGAGCCTGAGATTCGGCAACAGGACAACAGATGTACTTCTATTCCTAGGATTGCGATCCATTCGGCCAGGAACATTCTGGCTGTACTGAGTTATCGGTACCGGGTACTGCTGGGCAAATCAGCCACGACTGAAAACTGCAGAATAATTGTTCTTGAGAACATGACTAAGGACTGCGCTCAGTCTTTTCCCAGCACCAGCTGCAGCTCCTTCACAAAAGACCATTCAATCACTCGCATAGTGGAACCTGCCTCAAGCCCGCTGAATTGGGCGGATCTGGGCTTTCATCAAGGTTGATGCAGTCATTTTTCCCCACCATCGTTGCCAGAACCTCTTTCCCACACACAGCTACATTAGCTACTATGCGTTCAATGAGAGTCGTGAGATTCAGCAGGCCTCGAATTCCCGTCTTCCACCCAGGCCATTTATTGCCACGGCGCACAAGTACCATATCTGTACCTGGCGCCATGACCCGCCATTCCGAATCGCACAGAAATCTACCCAAAATGCCAATAAGCATCAACACACGCACACACACACACACACACACACACATAGATTGGTGAACACTCTAACGGTGACATCGCACGATGGCACTAACGTTGTCAGCCAGATGGCAGAGAATCATAACGAACTTGCACTTGCAATACTCGAGGATGGTATGTGGACAGCAGCAACTGTTATCAACTGTTGCGTTTTCACTCACAGCACTAGCTCCGCTCTCTAACAACTTACTTATATACCCCTACCACCAGCCGAGGGTGACCTAGCGCTAACACAGCAAACTAGTGCCATCGGAGAATAACACAGCGTAGCACACAACAATCAGCTCGACAGCATGCGCGCTCACCAGCGGCCACCAGCGTATAATTGAAACACGTTGCCCCAGGCGTGTCCCGCTATCACCTTCGGCAACACGACCTGATCAAAGTCCTGTCGCGATCGACTTGCATGTTGCTGAACACGGTTCTATCGGTATCTGTGCACCTTGCCTGAATCATTTTGATCACCTTTGGGCATCCGTCAAAAAAGTGCCGTACAATAGCCACCTAACCACTTTTCCACTGAGACGACTGAGCCATGAAGCGATCATTCTCCTAGATACGACTTGGCTCCAATTCATGAACCGGCTCCTGGCATGCTTCGTAGGGCTTCCTAGCAGCTGGTTCAATATTCTGTGCGATTGCGTAACTGCATGACGGCCTGCGACGGCATCAAAAAGGGCTAAACTCAGCTCAGCTTCCAACCAGCAGGAATATCAAGCCAATTGTCGTCAAAGTCTTTGACCATATCTGTTCCTTGATCCGCAGACCAGGCTGTTGCAAAATGCTGCAAGCTCACTGGACATCCGTAAACTCATTTCAACCGCTGCAGGTAACTATAAACAGAGCGAATTGTTTTCTATGTTTTGGCTTGCTCTGTGCTGCAAGCCAAAGTCGCTGTGCAAGCATATCAACTTCTTATAACGACAGAAAAAAGATGAGGATACAATGGAGCACATTGTCGGCTCTTCTTGCTGGATATCAGCTCGTCCTGGGTACCCTGCGACGACACAAAAATCATCCCGTATGTGCATCCCACCGGATGAAACTCTCTGAGCCTTGACAGACCAATCGCGACATTCGAGGTACTGTGGGAGGAACACTGAAATCACCATTCGCTGCAGAACTTGCTCCACAGCTCTCTCTCCACACGTTCGATTGTTAGCCACGACACCCATGTCCGAGTCATCAGCTGCTCTGCACGGTAGGACGGCAAAGCATCTTCCATCTTCATACACCTTAACGGAATTTGACGCTAGACGTAGCAGATGTGATAGTCAGGCGCAAGCGCTTCGGAACATGCAGCTGTCAACAGTCCTCCCCAGCATCCAAGTAGCACAATGACCAGGTGGAGGATTATGGCACGCTCCATCTATCAGCAACTCGCCCGAGATAGTACAACAGATTCCGGGGGGACCTCGGTGACTGAGGCGAGGCGCTCCGCTCACATTGACACAGCGGAGCAGGAGGCGCACAGGAAGAGGGGACGAAGAAGAAAGAGAGGAAAATAGGAAACGACAAACGATCACAGGAACAGAACAAGGGGAACTACATGATAATGCTTGCGGAATAGGAGTGAATTGCAGAGGCAAGGGACAGTGGCTATGCTGGTCCCCGCATCGCGCATGCCCGCTAAGGCGGCTGGTTATCGCATGAAGGAGCTTCTCAGTGCAGGCAAGCACAACCCATAAAATACAATCCATCACCATCCCAAGAACGCCTTGGGAGAGATCCCTTTTGAATACGGCAGATGCTTGTAAAACGGATCGCGAAGGCCCATCTAGTCTGGCTTGTTGATGGGCCTATCAATCAAGAGTGCTTGGCAAATCTACCCGGCCTGGCCAAAGTTCCGGGCAGAGTGGAAGTGAAGAGGGTCTGTGCCGAGATGGATGGAGTTAGCAGTTGGGCGACAGAGTGAGTCAACATGATTCAGTTTCGATCTGGCAGGTAGAGCGAAACGAAGCATGCCCAAAAACTCCAGCGAGCACATGCTGCCATGCCACAATGAAAGACCTGAGCTGAAACTCGGAATGCACAGCGCGTTTCATTAAGCAGCAACCTTCGACGCAAGTGCAGGGATAATCTTTGCCCAGGTACCAAGGTTGCCTGCACGGTGCGTCTTCCCTGCACAGCGAAACGGTACGTGCAGCAGAAGATTCGGCTTCTACAAAGCTTCAGCTAAACTCTGGACTGTCTAGACTCTGAAGACTCTAAAGTTCTAGTCGAAGCCATGGCTGGATCACGCCTGATGACTGGCCAGTCGCTCACACCAAGCAACTTGACATCCGTCAGCTGCCTGCCACATGAGTTGGAGGTTGGTTGATTCGAGCGAAACAAAGCATTTCGGTTCACGAACAATACATAAAACATCTCCAAAACACCGTGCACAAAACAGTTCATCAGAAAGCACGAAGCGAGCGGCGACCGAAACCCCAACACACAACAAAATACAACTTTCGAACCAGGACCAGGACGGTTCGAGTTTCTGCATCAGTGTTTACTTGTTGTTGCTTGAGCCGGCATACCCGGTTCCGGCTTGCGCTAGTCCAGCTGAGGTGTTCAGTGGCCCCATGCCGAACGCGAGATTCAAAAAGCGCACGAGCTTGCATCAACACCTTGGAGCATGCAATTTGCTTGCCCCGCGCGAGCGATTCGAGGATTTGCTTTGCCGCATCCCTTATTGGAAGCCCCCCTGACCATGTGCCCCATGGATTTTTGGTATGTGCACACCTCATGGTGGAAGAAGTTCCGCTTGTTCTTACTCACGCTCTCACCTGCACATTGTCAGGCCATTGCCCATATGGCACATGGAGAACACATGCAAGATCATTTGAACGACACAAGATCGACAGTTGCGAACTCTGCGCGGAACATGACAGTGCAGAATAAAACCACACAGTACATACGCACGCACGCAGGACGGTTGCTTTCAACACCACGTCACAACGCGGTTATCTTGCGCCCTGGAGGAGCGGAGCCAGAAGACTACAGCAAAAGCGGTGTGTTAATCTAGAAACTCACCACACCGTCCTGATACTGACAAATACCGAAAGCAAAAAAAGCGTGCGAAGTCTGCAATGTCTGCAAACAATGTGACTTCGGGCTTTCTTTCGGCAGGGTGGGGCGTGGCTTGGACAAGCCTTGGCTAACCCTTAGCTGCCTTAGCTGCGTGGGCCAGGAGCTGGGCTCAAGGTGTACACGGTAGGGCCACAGTGATGTATCGAGTGTGGTGGCACAGTGCCACACTGTGCCACACTCACCGGCCTTAAACCCTGGCGGTTGACGCCAAAACTTTGTTGAACCGCTCCGCGCTTGATCTGCTGGCTACCAACTGGAAAAATTCGCAGCTTTGGGCGTGATCCCTGCCCAAGCAACCTCTCAAACAGCCGCGAGCAGGTACCCAGCGCGCACGCACATGCGCTCGCACTCGCTCGTGCCTGTGTGGGCAGGGGACTTCCACTTATGGTACTTGCATTCTCATGTGTACTTGTACTTGCATTTCCACCTGTCTCTTGTTGTTGCTGTTGTTGACCTCAAGGCCCGAAAGCCGTGCACCTCCCCCCCCCCGGCGAACAAAACCAAAAACATCCAAAAACCAGAACCCTGCAGCCTGGACCGCCTGCAGTCCTAAAATGCTTTGGCCGTGGCCTGCAGGCGCAGCCTCATCCCATTACTTTTCGAACGCGTGTCACAAGACTGGTATTTAACCATAACCGACTTGTGTTTTTTGCAGAGCAAGCTGGTTCACAAACTTGATCTTCAGATTGCTGTGTGACCATGACATCTTGCATGCTGAAACGCGACTCCTGCTGTGAGTGAGCATTGCGACCAACAAACGACTGACACATGCTCAACACAAACAGGCACCACACGAACAAACGGCAAATGCTTGAACGAAACCATGTCAGATGAACACGCGCCTCCGATTCCGAGTGCAATCTGCACAAACTTTCAGACAAATCTAGGGCTTGCTGTAGCTCCTTATAGCCGCAGAGATCTTCACGCTTTCAACTTCAACATGACAAGTCCCACGTGCTTGCAAGGTGCAGGCATGAGGTCCTTCTCAGAGTTGGGTCTCAAACGCTTGAAACTTACCTCGGAGTGTTGAGGGTTGAGGGATTCCGGGATACCCAAAGAAAGCACATACCAAAACGGGGCACACTCAGGCAAACACGGGGCACACAATCGCTTGCGCGAGGGTCTTTACCAACTTGGCAGCTGGGTACAATGTTTGAAAAACTTTGAAAATGCTTACTGTGAGGGGTCCGAGAACGTATACGCAATTCCGATCTGCTCCAAACTTCTGAGGCCGAGGTTCGGGACCAATCCAATGGACTTCACTTCCACTGTGCGCCACGACATCTCGAGCTTCTTGGCAAGTGTAAGAAGGCCTCCTTTCGAGGAGCGAACAGAAAGCATTCTGTGCTCAGCCCTCGCGCCCCCTCCTGATGGAGGCTGCATGGAGTACTTTGCTCCGCGCGTCGTCACCTAGAAGTTAACAAGCAAGAAGCACAGCGCACTGCCTCGCCAAAGCGACGCTCAACAGCAACAAGCGGCCTTCTGCAGAGAACACTCGGCGAAATGTTCCAGCACTCATCATGCTCCAGCATGTCCTGATCAACGTGCAACTTGCTCACAAATTTCGGTCTTCGTGTGGAACACGGCGACTTGTGACTGTTGCTGCGTTGCTGGCAAGATTCACATTGGTGTTTAGCACCCAAGGCCGGCCGAAGCCACCAACTCGCGCTGCCGCGCGAAGCCCTTTGATTCGATGAGGTCCCATTGCTCAGCTCTGGGCCACAATGTTGAAGAATGTTCTGGAAGCTTTGGTATGGCACGCTCCGGGTGGATTGTACACGATTGCACTTCATGAACTTTTCACGACTCATGCCTGTCCAAAACGCACGCTTGACTGGGACGAGCTGGAATGCTTGCATTCCTCTCAACAGCCTCCAGGTCGCAATTTTCCGAAGGCACCCTAAACATGTTGCCAGTGCCTGTCTCGTTCTCGCATGAAGCGATTGCAACTGCTCCAAAACCTGCCCAGCACACTCGGAACTCTGCGAGAACATCTCGGGTTGCCGCCCGAAGCCCCAAGCCCGTCCAGCCTTGCAAAGCAAATGAATGCTGAGGCTGACCTCGCTCATCTGCCTTAGTTTCTGAAGCACATGTTCACGAGCACAAGAATGATTACACAAGTTCGCTCGACGTAGCTTCTTCACCTTGACCTAAAGCACAGAACCAAAGCAAGCAGGGGCAGGCTGAACCGTCGCCGTGCAATGATCCGCAACGTGTGGAACCCTCCCCAAACCTGACCTCAAAACATGTGCAGACGAACAATATACTGGCGATATCCAATTCAAAATCCATGGCCGCTTTCCCCGTTCGAGCCTAGCCGCCAAAAAATTGGCCCCAGTATGCTGGCACTGCCGTCAACAGAATGCTGAGCATGGGTCCAACTTCACTGCCTCGGACGGCTTGAAGGCAACCAGGCGAACCAATGGAGGTAGCCACCTCGCGTCACCTGCAAAAAATGTGGATTGCAATTTAGCAAGCTCTGGCCTTGGACACGAGAAAAGGAAGTTCGGACAAGGTGCGTGTAAGTGCATCTGCCGGCCACTCGCCTGTCCGGCGCATGAAATCAGCCTGGGGCAGCTTGCTCAAATCGTTCAATCACTACAGAACCACACATGCTTCACATGCTCTTTGAGCTGCAAGTCTGGGCGCAGGACCTGCAGCATGGAGGCATCCACTATCCTTACCATAGTTGCCACTGCATTTGCGAGAAGTGGTGCTGGCAAAAATCGGAGTGCGTACGAGGAGAAACGAATGCGTCAAAGCCTCCCCTGCGCACGATCAGTAGGCCTGACACGCACGACCAGCATCTTCAGCAAAAGCACCGCGTCTGCTGGTTTACTCAGGCAAGCACTCAAGCGAGGTGCCTAAGGAGCCACATTGGACTACCTGGAGCTTGAAACTTGCCACGAGACTCACGTTCCAGCAGATACTAGCAGCCTGCGAATTCAACTCGATGTCAAAAAGCATCTGCAATCGCTCGAGGAACCGCGAAAGGAATGGTGACAAGACCTCAGAACACAGATGATTTGCAGAAACATGGAAAATTCATGAGATTGGGTCTAAGACCCCTGCATTGAAATTCCATGACACTCTGGTGCGGCAGTCACCGATGAGAAAGAAGCTGAAAACGTAGCCGGGAGTGATCTTGTCACACGTGAATTTGAAACGAGCCGTCTCACTCAACTCTGATGCCATGAGCCTCAAACAACGCCACTCCTTCGCCCAAGGCCTGGCGCAACCAGCTGGCCTCCGCATGATTTTGCCAAGGTGCCGATGCATCCCACACACACGTCAAGTCAAAATAGCCTTTTGCGGGATAACGTCGCGATGTGCAGGAAAACTACATCTCTTGTTCTCCCACTACAGGGAAATGCCCCTTCATGGCTCTCACGGCCCTCACCCGCTCACGAATTGTGAGAAAGTCAGCTTCAAGCTTTTCAAAATGTTTCAGCGGAAGCGAGCATTTGCCAATTTGCCGTTTCTTTCTCAATCCAGGCCTGAAACATCCACATCACCCAAACATGTTCAAAGGTCAACCGTGTCTCCATTTTTTTCGGCCTCTGAAGACAACAAGTCTTGGATCCGAAAGAAGCCGCCGCATGTGCTGGCATCATCGACAACCACACTGCACCGTAGCTCTTCAGATACCAGTCCGTTGTCGCCTTCGTCCGTTGTCGCCTTCTGCAGTACTATTTCTCCAGCCTCCTTCGAAATTGTTAAGCTATGCAAGGTCGGCTGCTCTATTGGAAAGTGCCCAAACCTGCTCAGGGTGCAGTGCACCACGAATTTTTGCCATACCACCATGCAGAAGGTGACCGCGAATTTTCATGTGCAAAGCCGCACTGAATTGGCTACCCCCCTTCCTTTATAGGAATTCGGAATACACCTCCTCATGTAGTTCTTCCTCTCTTACTTTCTCCTTGTCTTTTTATCTCTCTCTCTCTCTCTCTCCTGCACGCTTAGCCCCCCCCGAAGGGAAGGCTGCCCCAAAGGGCGCGCGAAGTCCGCTGGTCTGTTTGTGAGGAAGGGCCACGATTTTCACGGCCCCTTTGAAATCGCGAGGCGTGTGGTTTCCCCCGAGAAATTAGCAAGTCAGTCAAACCCCCCCGTAGATGCCCCATGCAATTGTAGCCCTCGGGTTCCCCCACTCTGTTCAGCCTCGATGTTTTCTACTTCAAGCTGCTACTGTGCTTGTTACTTGCCAGGCCAAGGGTTGCGGCTTTCCTCAATGTGGTTTCGCTGAAGGATGGGTGTTGTAGGGGTGATTAAGGATTCAACTCTTTGAGGTCCCCCGCACTGTGTCCCTATTCTGGCCGGCATGGTGTTTTGTACACCTATCTTAGTTACTGCTGGCCCCTTCATGTGTTCTTCGGCGTCTGGTGTCGTGATCAGGTAGTGGGGGACCGCGACGTTGTAGCCCCCAATGTTTGTTCGCTTGCCCTTCTTCTGAGGTCTCGCTCACAGATCACCTCTTGGACTAGGAGGATGTGCAGATCCCTTAGGGATGGTGCCCCCGTGAGTGTTTCGCAGAGGTCGAGTACATGTGGTACTTGCAGTCCCCCCCACATTCCACGATGCGAGCACATATTGGCCCCCATCTGCACGGTGTCTGTGTCGGTGAAACGATGGAGCTCCCAGTCATAGGCCTTGGCGGATCCGCTCCCAGGTGCTCTGCACCGTTGTGGGTTCTTCGCGGAGAAGTCGTGCTACTTCTTGCAGGTGGATCCATCCGGCCCCCGCGGTTGTGGTGTTGGGGGGGGCGGAAGCGGTGGCTGAGGCAATTTTGACCCCATTAAGCCACACTGTGCCTGTCGCAAACTCTGCTTCCACACGTCGAGGGTCTCCCCCATGCTCCAACGCAAGTCGTTTTGCTTTACCAGCGAGCTTGGCTTTGGCACGGCGTTGTGGGCTTTGGCTCAGGGCCAGCCAAAGTTTCTGGTGCCCCCCATCTGCTTTTGCCCCCAAGATGAGGTTGGCATTGCGGACCTTCTGAAGGGCATTCTGAACGCGTTGACGGTGCTGTTCCTCACTTTCGTCATCTCTGGGGCGTATCGGGATGATGGCGTACCCCCTCCGAATCCCTGGGACAAAGGCTGCCCCCATGTCAATGTCGAGCCTCAATTGACTTGCGGTGTTCTGCGCGTTGTGAAGGGTCTCCGAGGCTGGTGTATCTTCGGGCCATCCCCCCATAATAAGTGCGGGTTGGCGGCGCTCTTCCTCCCCCGATGATGCTGCCGAGGGTCCGCCCCCCAAGGCCCCTCCATTCAACTGTCCAAATTTGCCCTCCAGGAGGGATAGTCTTTCCCTCATTCGTTCCTGCTCTTGGGCGATCTCGTCCGTGACGCTTTGCTGTTGCTGCTGGGCTTGGTCGATGCGGCGGATGGTTTGGGATTGTGCAGCATGAAGAGCCTGAAGTTCTTGGAGGATGCGAGCGATATCCCCCATCTGCCCTCGTACCTCAGAGCGGACTTCCCCCAGGATTTCCATCTTTAGCTCCCTTCTCTCGGATCGCAGCTCTTCCTTGATGGCTGCTCTGATGGCTTCCAGGGACAAGTCTTCGTTGTCCATTTTTCTCTTCGCCCCCGGGGAACCGTCTGGGTTCGTTGCTTGACCCGGCCCCCCTGCTCCCATTGCCTGGAGTAGTGTGGTCATGGCGTTCTCGGTGTCCCTGCCAAGTCACGTTCGTTACCGTGAACTTCCCCCTGGCGAGATAGACGCCGCTCAGAATCTGGTCGTCCCCCTCCCAGTCGCAAAGGCCGCCGATCACAGTGTTAAAGTGGTACACAGTGTCCCCCGCACGCCTCAGGTAGCGCAGGAGCACGGCCAGCAGCGGTTGCCGTTGAGCTTCGTTCCCCCCGGCAATGGTGGTCAGAACCTCTGGCAGGAAGACGCGTAGTACACCACTAGTGGTAGTAGAGCTGGCGCTGCTATGTGGGCGGCGGGGCAGCTGTCTGACAGCGGAGGCCCCCTCTCTCCCCTTCCCCCCTTTCCCCCTACTCTCTCTCAGTCAACTACAGCGGATTTGATTGTTTGCCCACAGGACGGCGGGCTGGGGCTCGAGCCGCTCGTGGCTTGAGCCAAAATGGCTACATCTCTCTCTCTCTCTCTCTCTCGTTCTTTCTTTGGGGCTCAACATCTCCTCCAACCCCCTCCATGAACGCTGCCGGCTTTGGGTTAAACACTGACAGCGTGATTCAAAGTTCGAGATAGCCCCTGCTTATCCCCAGGCTGCCCTGGAAGAACACACAACCGATGAGCTGAGTGGGTAGCGCACTGCCATTGGACAGCCATGCAACATTCATTCTCTTCAGAACACCCTCTTTTCCACGGGCATGAAGCAAAGGATTCAAGGGCGCAGGCCTCTTGATGCTGCCACGTCCATTTACAAAAAAGTCGTTGCGTGTGTCTCTGTGTGTGTGTTGTGTGTATATGTGTGCGTGTCTGTCGGACAACCAGAAAAACCTATGGCCGATTGGTCCTAGTCTGAGCAGATGCGGGAGAGTGTAGGAGACCAAACACAAAGAAGAGCAACATCAAGAACACGCGCCCCCATTCTGAGGCCAGCCTTTAAATGATGGGCAACGGCTTGCACCATTTCTTCCAACGTAGTCCTTCAATGGCAAGACGCTTCCAGCAATGCCGCGAACACGTTCCCAACTTGGTCAGCCACGTTTGCTGTTGCCACCTCCTGAGTGCACTTGTTTGTTGGGACTGACGAACACCACTAACACCACCATCTAATGCCATCTAACAGATCTGGATTTGCCAACAGGGCCAACGTAGGAATCTTGCACAAACGCCCGTTTGTCGGCGCCCAAAATGAAGGAAGACCCTGCAGCTCGAGCCAACTGCAACAAAGGTTGTGGACTGCATCGCTTCCGAAGACTCGCTAACCCTGCCGCCACAGTCTTCAAACGAGGGCCCTGTAGAAACCGGGCCGTCGTCTGAACTGAGGACAACCATTTCAAACCTTGACATGCTAGTACAGAAATATGAGGAAGAGCATCCAGACGCTGAATAGAACAGAGCGCTTTGTAAGGCAACGACACATTATTCAACAAAGGCGTCGCAAACTTTTGTGAAGCCTCGGCCAGTTGCATCTTTGTCAACTTCTCTCCAAACTCGGTTTCCTTGCGTGTGTTCAGTGTGTTCTCTGCATGTTGTCAAGGAAGTCCCTGTCTGCCCTCTGCACTGCCAAGCCCCGCTCAGCACCAGGCGTGGATCTCCAAGGAATCGAGGCACGTCTTGGCGCTGTCCTTGGTGGCAAAATCTGGCAAACAAGTTGACACGTGGTCACCGCTGAAAACGCACTGTACAAGCAATGCGTACTTCATCCAAAAGACGGCCGCCAGGCAAGTCGCTGAGCCTGCTTCGACACGGATGGGATCCTCCATGGGGTGCGGTGACGCTGACGCTGCAAGAAAGATTCAGAATCCAAGGCACTGACACGCATCTTCAACCTCACCCTTCCACCTTGCACAATGTCTTGGACAGCTTGCGCCATGCCAGTTCCGATAGTTGCTGAAAGCGGTCAGCACGTTTACAGGCTCCCGATGCTGCCCGCACACGCACTGCCAGCAGCTAGCAAGAAGCGGCGGTGCCGCTGTGCATACCAAGTATTGCCGAGTTGCGCAAATGGGGATGTCAACATTCAATACAAGTGAGCACCGACCCTCCCCAACTTCCTCATCCCATCTACCTGTTAATCCTTGTCGATAACAAACATCAATATGCCAAGCTGTCAAGCTTGTGTGGCTATGGGCCATGGGGCATTGTGAGAACCAACGTGTAAAAATTTTTCCTTAAAATGACACTACCTGCGTTTCAAACTTTTCAGATCAACGGTCATCAGTTCCATGCGACTGCGGAAAGAACAGTCAAAGCGACAACACAGCTGGGTCACCCACTCAAATCTCGTGACAGCATATCGACGAACCTACGGAGAACCTGGACATTTGCAAAAAGGTTTTGCGAACATGTGCATTCCAAGAGCCGCTCTGCTTGCAGGCGCCTCTTCACGTATGTCTGCATGCTCTGCCACAGACACCTCGATTTGCACCTGCGCAAAAATCAAGCCATGATGGGCAAGTTTCGAGTTTTTATCTCGAACACTATGGGTGCTCACTGACCAAATCGTGTGGGAGCTCCAGAGGACTTTAGCAACGGCAACAAGGTCAATCTGCTCAAAACCCTTGCCTGCGGCCAAAGTACTGGCTTGGGCAGCACGTGCCTGGAGCGGCAATGCGCACTCACACCCAGCAACACTATTGGAAATAAATTTTGCTGTGAACCCAGCTCTGTAAAGTTTGGCAACGATGCAATTTCATCACGAGGAAGTGGTGCTCGATGGACGCCTGCTGCAACAGCGGATGACAGAAGTCCGCCAACATTACTCTCTTAATCGCAAAGCTGAGGATACCACTTGTAACCAGATACGAAAGCACAACACCAAGTCCAGCAATGATCTGAACAGGGTTGCGCATGTATGCTTGGAGCGCAACTGACGCGGATGAAAACGACTCAGATGATGACAATGTTGTAAAACCTTGGTGCAGCCACTCCCGTCGGTAAACAGAACCGTTACTAGCAAATCACTGTTCGCAATCAACTGGGTCGAAAAAAGTTCCAAGCAAGGCCAACTGGCGCAGCTGCGATGCCATTTACGCACGCGCCATCATCTGCACATGTTAGATCTGCTGCTACATCCGCCCATGGACATTTCAGTGAAACCGAAACATATCAGACAACATGCTATATCCAACAGTTTTTGCAAGGATTAAACGGATGCGAAGCCTTGTTTAAAGCTTTGGGCGCTGATTTGTTAATGGTTCTGTCATCTGCTTGAAATCTGTGTCGACGATGCTGAAATGACATTGATACTTCACGCAACGAGCTAAAGAACTTTTTTGCCACCGACGCAATCGAACCCAAAGTTGCGGTTGTTGTGAGCACCAGTGAAATCTACGACCATTTCCAGTTCGGATTTTTTTGGCACAGCTTCCTTCTGGCTTACATGCCCACGCAACATGGTTACATTCGGTTTGCTCACAAGGAAGTATAAACGGATAAATTCAAGAATTCGTTTTAAGGGTTTAGCTGTTGTACCGAAAACTAACTCATTATGTCACTAAAATGAAAACCTCTATTTCTCTGCATGTTCAAAGGAAAACCTCTATTTTCTCTCGAAGATGCTTTCTCTATATTCTAATCTGAAAACCTCGATTCTCTCTGTATTTTCAGAGGAAAACCTTTATTTTCTCAATGTTTGAAGAAGAAAACCTCTTCTTTACATTTTTAATATGAAAACCTCTATTTTCCGAAAAACCTCTGTTTGTTTTTTTCTTGATAGGAAACCCTCTATTTCTCTCAATGCTGTCTACATTTTCATGAGGAAGACATGAAAGAAGAATACACGAGAAGCAAATTTTCCATATTTCATAGGAGAACATGTGTTATCTCTCTATGTGAATCGCAAACCTGATAGGAACCGCGAACCCGAGACGTCGGTGCGCGGACGCAAACAACGGGTATTCACACGGATCGAAAAATATTGCGCACGAATTGGATGTGCGAAGGTTTTTGGAACCTCAAACCGATGTGCAAGATCTTCGCCTAGCATCTGGCAGTAGTAATGATTATGAAAGTATTGGGACACTTCGGGAGGGATAGTTCCACACACAGACACACACACACACACACACAGGCACACACACACACACACACACACACTGAAAGACTTTTCACTGAACCGCAAAAGGGCTGCCGGTTGGTATGAATACATGCGAGGCAAAAGGAGTGCACTTCTTACACCCCGCCTCGAGATTTCCTGAGTGCTGTACTCAGGGAACACTCGCTACATTTCTGTCGTTATCTGCTGATCTGACGGCTGTTGGCCAGGGCTCCACATTCCTCATGATGATACACTGTGCCCCGGTGAGTCGCGATTGCGATCGACTGGGGAGCATATCCTCGTCCTTCAATCCTAGCGAGCCTTGCACGAAGATCCCTATACTCATTGCGAACTTCTATGAAAGTTTCCTCACATTGCTCTACAGTGCGATGTTCTTCATGCAAGGCCTCGGTGAAAAAACAACATCTGTCAACATACTCGTTCATGAACTGCCGCTCGCTTGGTGACATTCCGACGTTCGCTTGGGCGCGGCGGTTCTCCTTTCCCACGTCTGCTCAGCTCTCCAGTTGTTGGTCGGCCTGGAAGGGCCCACTTGTAGATCCACCAAACGACCCACGAAGCCCCAAGCCAAAACAACACCACCACCAGGCCAATTGCCATCGTAGCCACTCCAGACAGAAGAGCATCTTCCATCATCGCCATTGTCACGGCGAGGCCCAAGCCCTCTGCACCATCAGTCCCAAAGCACTTTGGGCCATCACAAGCAAGATCGGCAGGATTTTCTTCGCATGCACCATGCTCATTCCGCTGCTTTTCATCATCTCTTTTCACTTGCATCTTGCTCCGGGACGTTTCGAGGTCCTCGCTTTCGAGGCTCTCGCTTCTGTAGGGGTTCCGTCATCGTCCACTGCTCACTTCGACAGAGAAGCTCTCGTGTCCGGACACGAGGGCCGTTAAGAGGTTTTCCACCCAGAGCGGCGCAAGAATTTCGCTCTGAGCCCGAGGCCTGTCGCCGACAAGAACCACTGGGCCAGGGGAGCAGGCAGCCCTCCAGATTTGCGGCCTTAAAAGAGTGAAAGAGTTCTGGAGCGTCCCTTCCAGATAACCTGGCGACATGAGACCTGCAGCCCGCAGGAACAGCTCCCAAAGATCTGCGAGCACTCCGAGGAGAGGTCTGATGCGCTGCAGTGGTAGGACATGTCAGTCGCGTCATGTTGGTTGTTGCATTGTCAGAAATAGAAGCCCAAACCTTGAGCTTGTTGCGCTGTGCTTGGCAAGTGTTTTGCAGAACGACACAGCTGGGTTCAAACCTGGGTTGGAATCTGGGTTTCGAACCTGGGTTCCTGAGTTGTTGTTGTTGTTCCCCTCCCCCCCAACGGCCGGACCCTGGGTTGTTTGAACCTGGGTTCAACCGGGACCTCCTCCCTTTCTTGGAGCTGTCCAAGCACGGCAAGGAATCGACGCAGCAAAGACGGCTGGCAAAGTGTCATGCCTTTCGCTTTACAGATCTCTAAGGAGACTGGAAAGGTCACAACGATCCGTGGGTAGCTGGATACCCCGGTCTGCGCCTCTCCCGTCAGGACCAAGTGAGGCTGGTTCCGCCCAACCCAGGTGCGGCCGTCGGGGAGGGGGGAGGGAGGGAACAAGAACAACTCAGGAACCCAGGCTCGGAACCCAGGTTCCAACCCAGGTTCGGACCCAGGCTCGAACCTTCAACCCAGGTTCAAACTTTTTTTGAAGTGGACGACCCTTTACCACATCAGCAGCACAGTGGGCCGGTCTATTGCGACGAGGTGAAACAGACAAAACTAACCAGGAGCAGCACCACGAACAAGAACCAGGACAAACGCAACCCCTCTCTCAGAGCACGATGAAGTCGATGTAGACCCAGTGATGGCGTCGTACCACTCAGCCTTGCCTCGGAAAGGAGCTCGACGAGTGTAGACAGCAACATAGTTCCTCCAATGGGGGCTACGGATGGACGGTATTCTGAACGGGACGCACAGGTCCACTTCCCGTAGCGAGGCTAGGTCCGTAGTTTGAGGCTCCGAGAAGCGCCAGACCCGGGGACTGCTGCGCGTATCCATAGGCCGTGCTCCCTCTCCTACTGCAGACGGCGCAACACGCTTGGGCACTGTGGCGGGGCGTCCTACATGGGCTCATGGACGCGTCACACCTGTGAGCCGAGGCGCGTTGTGGACAGCTCATCACTGGGACCCCTGCCATCAGCTTCCCCTTCTCGGGGCCACCCAAAGTGGTGATTCGTTTGTGTAGCTTTGCTGCTAAAGGTTCCTTTTCGCAAGGGGCTCCAGCAACAGCTTTGCTGCTCAGCTTCTTTGCTTACACTGCTCAGCCGTTGCACCACCAGTCAAAAGAACAGTCTCGCTGTGAGTTTGCTATAGGAGCTGGCTGTCGTAATAAAAGTCTTGTGAACGCCAAAGTTCCGCATAAACAGGCTTTTCGAGAGCGAAAGGTTGCCGACATAGTCCTCCCGAAAAGGAAAGTGGGATTCTCGCTTTTTGATAAACCGCCCCTTCACGGTGCTTGGGCTATTAAGGCCACACAGCACCAGGGGAGGGGTGTTCTTTTTCGGGACCTGTGGCAAACCCAGGGAGTGGTGGGTGGGGAAAAATCTTCCAGCAAGCATGAAGCTAAGCTGAATGGTTGCTGAGCTGGCTGTCGAGCTTGATCCCACAAAGCAGCGGGATCGGCAAGCTGCGAAGAAAAGCATGTAAACAACATTGAGTAAACACAAGTATCGTT